ACACACACTAAAATAAATAAATAAATAAATAAATAAAATTTAAAAAAAAAAAAAGAAAAGAGCCAGTTGTAGGGGCCACGGCTGTCATCCCAGCACTTTGGAGGCTGAGGCAGGAGGATGCTGCCAGTGTGAGGCCGGTTTGGGCTACACTGCAAAACCCTGTCTCAAAACCAAAACAATTAGAAAAAGAAGAAAGGTAAAGAAGTGAAGTTTTCCTTCACATAACTGGAGTGGGCAGTGAGAGGGGTTCACGCCTCCGCAGGGCAGGTCCTGGGGTTCTGGGAGGATCTGTGGTGGGGTGGCAGGTGTCCTGCCTGACCCAGTCCATTTGTGGGTGGAGGTTGACCACGCAGGGATTTTAAAGGCCGTATAACATTCATGAGGCCAGAAATAGGGGTTTCGGGCATCTGGGTATGTGTGTGACTGGGGTCCTGGGGACAGGGCGCCCTTAATCTGTTGGCTGCTCTGTCGTCTTTTGCTCCTCCTTGCTTTGCCCCCACTTCAGTGTCTACCTGCCCATTAGGGGTTGGAGAACCGGCTCAAAGACTCACCGACCACCCTCAGTGGCCTTGCGGGGCCTGCACTTGAGATCCCAGCCCCCGCCCTAGCCAGCTTTCAGTCCTGTTTCCCTTCTGGGGAGCCCAGGGTGTGGACTGATTGCAGGTGGGTCAGCTGGAGGTCCAGGAACCTGGACACCTGAGATCCAGCTCTGGAAGGGAGGGCCTCAGTTTCCCCCTCAAGTGATCACAGCTGCCTTCCACCTGGGCCATCCTGTCCCTGGTCATCTGCCATCTTAGCTGAGCCTGGGGCTGCCCTTCCTCAAAGGTGTCTCAGAGCAACAGGAGTGCTGGAGGAGTGTGTGTCACCCCACACCCTTCAGTGTGTGGCCCTTGAGGGCTGTCCTATCTCCTGGAGGAAAGAGCCCCAAGCCAAGGCCCAAGGTTGAGGCAGACCAGAGTTTGTCCCAGGCAGCGATGGAGCTCAGAGTAGGCTTTTGAGAACACACAGGACTGTGTGTCCCCCTGTGTGCCTGTGACTGGGTGACTGGCTCCTGACAACAGGGGTGGCACGGGGCATGTCCTGGAACTTGTCTGACCTGGCACCAGTAGAGCTTGGGCTGAGGCGGGAGACCCCTCCCCAGCCATCCCGGGGAGCCCCTGGGAAAGGGCTAAGCTACCTCTGATGGAGTTTGCCTCTGCGGGGCAGGGAGGGATGGTTTGCCAGGCAGGGGCAGGATAAACACAGCTGGGCCCCAGGTGCCCAGGCCCTTGTCTTCTGTGTGTGATCTTCTTCATGAAAATAAACCAGAACATGGGGGAGATAGGTCAGTGGTCTAAGTGCCTACCTGGCATGCCTAAGGACCTGGGTTTGATCCCTGGTACCACATGCTGTGCCAGCCCCACCCGAGGTCTGCCAGGCTGGCCACCAAAACTGGGCGTGGTGGCATATACCTGTAATCCCAGCACTGGGGAGTTGAGACAGGAGAATCACTACGATGAGTCTGAGCTGAGTAGTGAGAACCTGGACCAAATAAATAAATAAATAATAAAAAAGTGGAACATGATAGCATCAGAGGCAAAGCCGATGGGTCTCTTCAAGACAGTTGTAGTTGGGCACCCCTGTAGTCCCAGCACTTGGGAGGCTGAGTCAAGAGGAGTGCCAGGAGTTCGAGGCCAGCCTGGGCTACATAGTGAGCTCAAGGCCAGCCTGGACGACCCTGTAGCAAGACTCTGTCTCAAAACAAAAACAAAAACAAACAAAAAAACCAAAGTCATAGAGTACAGGACATAGGGCACAGGGCAGACACACCAGTGCTTGGGGTGGGGACACTGGTTCACTCTTCTTGGGGGTCTTGGGTGCAGGAGGAAGAGCCAGGGTGAGGTTCTGGGATCTCGCTCTTTGTCTCGGGCTTTGGTTTCCAGGCAGCAGCGTGGGGTGGGAGAGACCCGAGGCCCGGTGGGCGGGGCCAGGCGGCCGCCCGCAGGCGCGCCTGTCTGTCTCCGCAGCTGATCTACGAGGCCGGCGTCCCCTTCATGGTCATCATGTTCACGTGGTCCGGCCTCGCCTGTCTCATCTTCCTCAACTGTGTGCTCAACTGGCCCTCGGAGCACTTTCCTGCACCTGAGGAAGTGGACTACACGTGCGTGGCTGGGGAGGGCGCGGGGGGCACCCGGGCGGACACTAGCCACAGGGCCGTGGTCTGAGGCCCATGCAGGCCAGCCCTGCCAGCTCCGGCTTCGTGGGCCTGGACCTGTCTCCTTCGGGCATGTAGTGGACCGAGGCACGCCGGCTGGCACAGTGGTGTCCTCCTGGGTTTGGAGGAGATGAGAATAGGAGGCCCAGCAAAGGCGCGGGGTGCTGTGCGAGCCCAAGGAGCGGGGCAGAAGTCTTGCTCGCCGGCCCTGGGAGCCGCTTGGAGGAGGCTTCCCCGGCCCGGAGGTGCTCCGTGGGGGCATGGAAGTGACCTTTACCCAGCGCCAGCTGTGTGCCCACCAGCTTCTGGTGTTAGAGGGTGGGTGACGGAGCTGTGGGCCCTGGGGCCCTCCCGGCTCAGGCCTGAGCAGGACAGCCGAGCGAGGGGAGCTGGTGGCTGGGGCTGAGGGTGCGCTCCGTACTGCAGGAAGAAGATCAAGCTCGCGGAGCTCGCCCTGACCCACAAGGTCACGGGTGACCGCTTCTACCGCCACGTGACTGCTGTGGGCCAGAGGCTGAGCCAGGAGCCGCGCAGCCTGGACAGGGGGACCAATGCCTTCCTAGCGCCCGCGGATGGCCGGGGTGCTTCGCAGAGCCAGCCGGAGAGTGAGTGCCTGCACCTTGGGCTACAGGTCCCTCTTGCCCTCTGCTGGGCGCACTCAAGACCAGGTGCAGGGGCCGGGGAGATGGCTCAGTGGAATAAGCGCTTCCCTGGCAAGTGCAAGGGCCTGAGTTCAATCCCTGGTTCCGCAAAAAAAAACCCCAGTACAAAAAAAAAAAAAAAAAAAAAAAAAAGACCAGGTGCAGACTCAGGCTCAGCCCTGGGGCTCCAGGTAGGGTGGGGGCTCCAGGTCGGGGAACTCAGGCCCGGCCTTGGTGCCCGGCGCCCCCTGCTGCCCACAGGAGGTGCTGCGCCCTCCTGCCAAGCCCCTTCCAGGGTATGGGGGCTGCCCTCCTCCGAGGTACGGGCATCCACCCTAGAGACATGGCCAGGTGAGCAAGGCAGGCCTGAGGGCCGCCACCCCCACTGTCGTCCCTGGACTTTGGCTCAGGCGGGAGGATGCTGGTCTCTGGGAGTTCAAGACCAGCCTGGGGAACATAGCAGGATCCCTTCTTGAAGGGTGTGTTACCACATGCAGCGAAGGGTCTGCATCCAGAGGGCCCTAGAAACGCACCGTGGAGATGGCTAAGAGCGGAGCAAGCTGGGCGTGATGGTGCAGCCTTCTGGGAGGCTGAGGCAGGAGGATCGCAAGTTTGTGAATTGAAGCCCAGGCTGATGACGCAGCTCAGGGCTGGCGCTGGCAGAGGGAAAAGGCAGCTCCGGGGCTCAGGGGCGCCCCCTGCTGTCTCCAGAGGCCGTCCCCTTCCGCCAGAGCCTGTGCTCGCCGGTCTTCCTGTGGAGCCTGCTCACCATGAGCCTCACGCAGCTGCGTGTCATCTTCTACATGGCGGCCATGAACAAGATGCTGGAGTTCCTGGTGACGCGAGGCCAGCAGCAGCGTGAGCCGGGCGGGTAACGGGCCCGAGGCGAGGGTGGGGGCCGGGTCCTGTGCCAGCTGCTTACGCTGCCCTCCCCACCCGCAGAGACCCATGAGCTGCAGCAGAAAGTGGCCGAGACAGGTAGGGCTGCCACCCAGGCGGGGACCCCCGGGACCCGGGCTGAGTGGGGCCAGAGCCCAGCCCGCGGCTCGGACCTCTCTCTCCACCCCAGTCGGGTTCTACTCGTCCGTGTTCGGGGCCATGCAGCTGCTCTGCCTCGCCACCTGCCCCCTCATCGGCTACATCATGGACTGGAGGATCAAGGACTGTGTGGATGCTCCGGCCAGGGCAGCTGCGCACAGCAAAGCCAGGTGACCTGCGGGCCGCGGGCCGCCAGGAGTTCTTGTGTCCTCTGCTTGCACATGTGGCTGTCCTCTCCCTGGACACCAGTGGCAGGGCTTCTGCCCGATTTTACAGATGGGGAAACTGAGGCCAGAAGGGGCGTGGCTTGCTTCAGAATAAGAACTAGTTGGGTGTGATGGTGCACTCCTGTCATCCCAGCACGCAGGGGAGGCCCCGTGTCAAAAAAACAACAAAATCAAAAACCAAACACAAAACATGGAGAACAGGCAGTGCTGGTGCTCATAGGGCCCCAGGCAGTTTTACTCCATGTTGGTGTCCTCACTGTGCAGGTGACAGGTCACACGGGTAAGGACCTCAGCCAGTTACACCGCATGCTCCAGCCCAGGCCTGAAGGGTTCCCTGTGCCCCCCTCCCCCCCTTATTTGCTCACAGATTCATAACAAGCATGTCCACGGACAGCAGCAGACACCCTGGCTGGGAGGAGCTGGGGTGGAGTTGCCCTCCAGCATGGGGGAGAGCCTGGGTTTCATCCCCAGCACCGCAGAATGAAAGCAAACACCACTTCATCCTGTCTCACAGTCACTGAGCTGTGGAAACCTGGGAGCAACTTAGCCAGGCATCTCTGCCCCAGTTTCCCTCTTCTGGCTGTGCCCAGCAGGAGGCCAGGGCTTCAGGGATCCTAGGTGCTGAGTGGGATGGGCAGATGCCAGGGGGCTTTTATTTATTTTTTGGTGGCACCAGGAACTGAACTCAGGACCTTGAGCTTGCCAGGCAGGTGCTTATGCTGCTGAACTATCTCCCCCCCCAGGGGGGTTTATAACAGGGTCTCTACAGCATTCCCGGCCACTTATGCTGCTCTCTGTCCCTCAAGCGGGACCCGAGCACCCCTGGGAGGGAGCTCACCAAGGCAGACTTCCTGAGGAGACTCTCTGTCCCTTTCTCTTATACTGGGAATTGAACTCAGGGCCTTTGCATGGAGCTATAGCTTTGGCCCTTTTCATTATAATTTTTAAAAATAATTTGAGACGGTCTTGCCATGTAGTTCAGGCTGGCCTTAAATTCATGGTGACTCTCCTCCCTCAGCCTGCCGAGTGCTGGGACAGCAGGTGGGAATGCATTTTAAGGAGCCCCTGTTGACACTCATGTAGTTGGTAGCTGAGAGCCAGAGGGGGAGGAAAGGTTTTCCGCCCAGCAGCAGGGGACAGGGCTGGGAGCTGGGGGAGGCTGAAGCCATGACTCAGACTTCTGCTTCTCCCCAGGGGCCGGTCCGCCACTGAGCCCGCCAGGCCACGCTACTGCAAGATGCAGAAAGTCAGCAATGCCATCAGCGCCTTCACCCTGACCAACCTGCTGCTGGTGGGCTTTGGGGTCACCTGCCTGATTGACAGCCTGCCCCTCCAGGTAGCCCTCCCTGGGCCCCCGGGGGCTTAGGGAGCATCTCACATCTGCAGCCCTTCGGTGGGACTGGGGACTGAACCTGGGGCCTGTGCACTGAGCTATACCCAGAATCTTTTGTTATTTTGAGACAGGGCCTCCCTACCTTGCTCCTGCTGGGCTGGTCAGACTTGTGGTCCTCCCACCTCAGCCTCCTGCAGTGCTGGGATGACAGGTGGCAGCCACCAATCCCAGTGCCTTGGGTCTCTTGACCTCTTCACTGGCTCCTTTGGATTTCAGCTTGTGACCTTCGTCCTGCACACCATGGTCCGAGGGTTCTTCCACTCGGCCTGTGGAAGCCTGTATGCCGCTGTGTGAGTAGGAGACTGCACAGAGCCCGGCCCTCTTCCTCCTCCACTCCCTTCCACCTCTGGATGCTGTACTTGGAGGCTGTCAGGTCTCTTCCTTCTCCCCTTGGGGGACTTGGCTCTTGAGCCAGCGACCTTTCCTATTTTCACTTTTTGGTGCTGCAGATTGAACCCAGAGCCTTGGCACAGAACTGTGTCTCCAGCCCTCTCAAATGTTTTTGTAAATCAGAGACAGGGTCTTGCTAAGTCACCAAGTTGCACAGGCTGGGCTATACCGTGGGACCCTCTGTCTCAGCCTCCCCGAGTGCCGCTGATGGGCATACACCATCATGCCTGGCTGCCCTGGAGATTCTGAGCTTGGGCTGGGCCCTGAGGGTGGGCCCTGGGGGTGGGGGGTGCTTGGTGGGGGGATGTGGGGAGGGTGCAGACCCCGACGTAAGGCTGCCCCACACCCCAGGTTCCCATCCAGCCATTTTGGCACGCTGACCGGCCTGCAGTCGCTCGTCAGTGCTGTGTTTGCCCTCCTGCAGCAGCCACTCTTCATGGCCATGGTAGGGCCACTGCGTGGGGAGCCCTTCTGGGTAAGTGCCCTGCACTGTCATCTGGTACTTTGGGAGACCGACGTGGGAGGGTCACAAGCTACAGTCCAGTCTGGGCACCTTAGATTCTCTCTCTAGTGAAAAATTATAGAGGGCCGAGGTTCAGCAGCTCCATGCAAAGGCCTGGGTCCAGCCCCCAGTGCTGCAAAATGGAACCCACAACCAAACACCACCTCCAGCAGGCACCTGGTGTTTGTTTGCTCTTTTATTACTATTATTATTGTTATTTACGTATTTGGTACTGGGTCTCACTATGCAGCTGGGACTCCTGGTGATACTCCTCTTTTCAGCCTCCCCAGTGCTGAGATTACAGGCATGCGCCACCACGCCTGGACTCAGTCATAGGACTGGCATTGCGTGATCCCGGGGACCTAACCCCAGTCAGTGAGCTTACGTAGGCAGGAGCTTAGTCCACTGGGCTCCCTTGCCTGCTCTTTTGCTCGTTCTTCGTGGGACAGGCTCTTGCTGTGTAACCAGGCTTGCCTCAAGCTCACTGCGGCCGTCCTGCCTCAGCCGCTCAAGTGCTGGGTTCTGCTTCTTCAAGGGCCCTGAGAGCCTCAGCTCCTCACCTGAGTGACGCCGTGAGCTGTGCAGTCCTCGCAGCGCCTGCCTGAGGAGTCCCTGAGGGCCTGAGTCTGGCCTGGGTCTGAGATGCTTCTGCTCACGGGCTGAGCGGGGCCGCAGGCCAGGAGGACTCAGCCCAGCACCCAGGTCTGCTCAGGAAGGCACAGTGTGGTGTTCCAGCCGCTGACTCAGTTTCCCTCCCTGCCGACAGGTGAACTTGGGCCTGCTGGTGTGCTCCCTGCTGGGCTTCCTGCTGCCTGCCTACCTCTTTTGCTACCGCGCCCGGCTCCAGAGGGAGCTGGTGGAGCCCAGCCCAGGAATCCCGACGGCACTGTGTGCCCCCAAAGTGGCAGCCTGAGGTGCGTGGCCAAGGACCTGAGGCTAGGAGCGTCCAGGCCACCCTGGGCCCCACGTGGAGCTCAGAGCGGGAGGGAGCAACTTCTGCGGGACTCGCAGTAGCCCCCAGGCCCTCGCGGAGTGGTGTCACTAAGCTGCTGACTGACACCACCACCCTCTGAGCGCCGGCTGGGGCGGGGTCCCCCCTAGCTCAGATTTTGGAGAAAATGAAAAGGCCCAAGCCCAGGGGGCGGTCGCCCCTCCCCACCCAGCCCAACGGGGCCCTCTGTTAGGCAGAGGGCGCCCATCCTTCCGCCTCCTCCTTCCCCCAGAACAGCATTTTGGGTCTGAACTTCATGCAAATGCTGAGTTTTGTGGTAGACCGTGATTACGTTTGCTTCTTTGGACAGGGTCTCGCCATGTAGCCCAGGCTGGCCTCCCTAAAACTGTTGACGATCCTCCTGACTCGGCCTCCCGAATGCTGGACAGCCCACGCATCCTGGGCTCTGGTAGACTGTCCGCCAGGCCCTGTTCCGGCTGTCCCTGCGATGGGGAAAGCGCGGCCGGCGGGTCTCGGGCGCGGGGCGTGAGGCGTCCGGCAGGTGGCGCTGCGGACAGTGGGAACCCCAGGACCCCAGCCCTGCCCAGCGGGGGCTTGGCTCCCACCCCGGGACAGGGAGTGGAGAGGGGCGGGCGGCGGAAGCCGGAGCCGTGTTTGTCGCGGCGCTGCCGAGCGGAACAGATGGCCGGGAGGAGGGGTGCGGGGGCCTGAGGATGCGGAACGAGGAATCCGACGCCCCGAGTCTCCCGGGAGAAGCCCCCCTCCCTTTTCCTCCGGCAAGCAGGCGGGCAGCCGCGGGCTCGCTCCGACCCCTCTGCGCAGTGTGCAGCCCTGGCGTGCGGCCGCTGGGTCTCACGGGTTAGCTGGAACAGGGGCGCGGGAAGCCGGCTCGCGTCTGGGAGCGAATTCAGGGATCGCAAATAGCAAAAGGGAAAACGTGTTAATTGGAACTTTATGCAGATGAGTCAGGACGGTGGCTGGGAGCTAGCCGGTCAAGAAGACGAGGCCCGGCACGGTCCAGGCCCAGGGCAGGGACAGGCAGACCAAGCCCCGAGATGGGAGGCTGGTTTGGCGCCCTGTTTGGGGATCTGCAGAGCAGTGGGATGTGGGGCCCAGGCGTCTGCCCCGCCCTCGCTCTAGTCCCCAGCGCCGAGTGTAGGGAGGCCTTAGCCGCCACGCTTGCCAGACCCGCTTGCGACGTCCACCGAGACGGTTGTTTCCCCCACGCCTACCCCAGCTTTGGGGGCCACTGACTCCGTCCCCAGCTCAGGGTGGCTCTGGCAGGGTGGCACCGGGACAGGGACCGTCTCAGGGAGAGAAATAAGATTCCCAGTGCCTGGGAGGCCGAGGCAGGGTCACCGCGAGGTAGAGGCCAGCCTGGGCTGCACAGCGGGACCACGGATCAAAATAAAAACAAAGACGGACTCCCTGGTGGCCAGAGCGGCGAGCGGCGTACAGCTGGCGGCGGGAGGGGAGCCAGGCCCCCTAGAGGCCACTGGCAGCTGTCCCGCTGCCTGCCGCCTGCCTTCTCCTGCCCGGACGGGCAGGACAGGGCCGTTGTGCCCGCTCGGGTTTCGAGCATCAAAGACGCATGGCAACCTGACCCCCGGGGCCGGTGGCTCTGCGCCGGGTCCTTCGCGGGGGAGGTCAGCGAGGCGCAGCGGCCCCGCCCGGACCCGAGCGGCTTAAGGGCTTAGGCTCGGCATCTGGGGTGCACCCCCGGCCGATGCTCGCCCGCAGCTCGCGCTCAGCCGGCTGTGACACCCGGGGGTGGGGCGGAGGGAGGGGGCAGGCAGGGACCGCAGGCACCCGAGCTGGACACCGCAGGCAACCAGGCCTGGGGTGGGGACGCGAGGTCTGAGGCTCAGGGGCTTCCTAGTTGGGGAGACCGGGCAGCACGCGCCGGATCATTGTGGGGCTCCGGGGTGCTGGGATCCTGACGATGCGGCAGGACAGGAGGCCAAGGAGGAGCCAGGAGGGTCTCTCATCTGTCGGGACCCTTTCTCCTCCGCCCGTGGGTACTAGGGAACTTCGGCGGATTGTAGAGAGGTGACCGCGCTACGAGGAGGCGCAGCGGGCTGCCTCGGGGCCCCGCGCGAGGTCGCGGTTGTTTCCTCCTTCCTGCTGCACGAGAGAATGAGCAGGAGCTAGGATGAGAAGCAGAGCGTGGACCGCGGCCAGGAGGGGCCAGAGCCGCGCGAGTGGGCGGGACGGCGACAGCCGCGTGGAGTCCAGGGCGGGGCTGGGGTTCTGCGCCTTCAGCCCTTCCCAGCGGGCCGGTGGGGGTGGGGCCCGGGTCCCTGAATGCCCGATGCCTACGCTAGTTCAGGTGCCAAGCGGAGAATCTGGGTCGGGAGAGGGGGGCTGGGGTCGGTCCCAGCTCGGGATGTGCGTGCCCGGGCAGTGCGTGGGTGTGCGCGTGTCCGCGCGTGGGTGCGCACGTGCTGGCGGCGGGCTCTGTCTGGGGGTGGCGGCTCCTCCCGGCTCGCGCCTCCGGCTCCGCCGCTGCAAATAGCATCCGGACCGCGCACGGCCCATGAATATTTCACAGGCGCTAATTCCATGACCTGGACGGCTGCGCATTTCCCAGCAGCCCACCCCCACGCCCGCCAGGGCTCCGCCTGCCTCGGCCTCAATTCTGAGCACAGTGTGCTGCCCACCAAGCCCCAACTGTCCCGGGCCTGTCAGCCCAGCACTCTGGGAAGCCAAGACAGGAAGGTGGCAGTTTCAGCCAAAATGGGGCCACTTAGTGACCTAGCAATGCCCTGCCTCAGAATTTCAGAACAAAATTTAAAAGGGGGGGGGTTTGGAGGCTGGGGAGATAGCTTAGCAGCACAAGCGCCTGCCTGGAAAGTACAAGGTCCTGAGTTTAATCCCTGGTACCTAAAAGAAGGGGAGAGGGATGGTACTGTTATTATTTGGGTTGAACAGAGGGTCTTGACCCTGAGCCGCACCCCTAACTGCTTTTTTCTACTTCTGAAACCTGGTTTTGCTAAGCTGCTCAAGCTAAGTCCATCCTCTGGATTCTCCTGCCTCGGCCTCCCAAAGCGCTGGGAGGACAGGTGGAGCCACCAGGCATGGCTCCAGGCTAGATTCTTAACCCTAAATGCAAACCACCAGCCCCCAGCTGCCCTGTCCCCGGAGCCTGCTGGTACACAGAGCAGGAAGGTGAAACTTCTGCTCCCTCAGGCGGGTGACGCACCCCCCCTGGGGTCTCGGTCTCCCACCACCTCGCTGCTCAGCTTCTCCTCACTAGCGTGGGGAAATCTTTCTCCGACAGCCTCCACCCCAGCAGCCAGGGCGGCTGTGAACACGATGGCCCGCTCCCCCAAAGTGTTTGGCTGTCAAGAGCTCCACTGGTGTGGGCCTCTGCCCCCTCGCTGGGCTCCACTCCTAGGATAAGCTAGAGGCTCAGAGGCTGCTCCTTTTTCAACTCCCCGTTCCCGCGGCCACTTGTCTAGGCTCTCCTCCCACTTTTGACGTCTTGAGCCCAAAACCATCTTCCAGGAGTAAAATAATAGAATTTTTAATAAATTTTTTCCCCAACAACTTCTTTTGATTGTTGTCACCACACAGGGACCGTGATGGAGAGGAAAGCTCTCGTGGGGGCCCTAGAAAGTGTCCTGGGTAGACTCCGGAGGACAGCGCTCCTCCAGGGGGCGGCGGCGGCGGGAGACCGAGGCAGCGGGGTCCGGGCCGCCCCTCCGGGGACGCCCAAGGCTGTGCTGGTGGAAGGTGCTCTGCGGGCAGCAGCCCCGGGGTCCCCCGCGGGCGGGCGAAGGGCCGGGGTCAGGGCTGCCTTGGGACTCCCACCCCGGTGGGGGTGGAGAGCCGATGGCTGGAGTCCATGCCGCGCCGGGTAGGCAGCCCGCGAGGGCCGGCGCAGGAGGGTAAGTTGAGGCAGCGAGGCCGGGGCGCCTGGCTGTGGCCGTCAGAGGTGCCGGGGCGCCAGGACCAGTAGGCAGAGCAGCGGGGCGCGCAGCAGGACGGGGGCGCGCACGGGGCCCCGCGAGTCCGGGGGCGCATGGCACGTGGGTCCTGGGCACGTGCGCCCGCCGCCGTAGCCGCCCCAGAAGTCGTCCTCGGTGGGCGCGTCCCCGTCAGCGTCCGCGGCGTGGCGTCCGCGCGCGTCTGCGTCCTCGGCCGGGAGGTCGCGAGCCAGCGTGGCGGGGGGC